TATGAAAATGACTTTGAAATAATAAATTTGAGGTCTTTGTGCCAACTGGGCAAACTAATCATTGTTCCATTACCATGGATGACCTCAAATCCTACCTCCAGAGGAGTCATCAGTAATTAAAAATATTGGTCAGGCACCTTGAGAGGCTCTGATGATTTAGAAAACTAAAAGTGCCTCCTGGAAGAAACAGGCTTCTGTTCATGCCTTTCTGTATGACATTTTCAATTACATCATGATTCTATTCATTTGAACCTTTAGGACATACAAATTCATGTTTGTTGTACTGATTATTTACTCAATAATAATTCTTCTTATAAATCTTAAAATTGTGGGGGTGGGGGGTTTTATGTTTGTTTTTTTGTTTAACACTGTTATCTTACAACACCTGTATGCCTTCAACTGAAGGTCTTATATATTTCTGGTGAAGAAAAACAGCTTAGTTTCTGACTAAGAAGCTGAAATCTGTAATTCAGATTTCTCAAAAAATACTTACTACTTTATGATTTTCCATTGGGAACTGTACCAGTTTGGTAACTGGTGATTTTTGTGAGATTGAACACAAAGCTGTATCTGCCAGGTCATGGAGGAAATAATACATGGGAGAAGGGAATCTTCTCCTTTTGATAATAAGGCTGGAATGTTTTTTATCCTGGTGTGAGAACTTCCACTGATTCAATTTAGTAGTTACCAGTATGGCAAAAAGAGAAGAAACTAGAATACTGTTTCTAAGAATGAGCTGAATTAATTAAAAAATAGGAATCCACTAGTAATGAGATTATGTCAGGGGAAATTTTTCATTTTTCTTGAGACTATTACTGAAGAGACATCACATAAATCTAAAGAGCATAGTTAGTTAGATAAAGAATACTCTGAAACATCCACCTTCAAAATATCTTCAAAATATCTTGTTTCCTCTAAGCTAAAATAATTTCTTTGCTGTAGCCCTAGTCCATGATTATTAGTTATTTTGCAGGTGCTTTGACTTATTATAGCTTTGTATGACTTAGCTCTTTAGGAGCTCTTCTATAAAGAACCATTCCTTAAGCTCCTATTTGTATATAATGATCTAATTTTCTTAGTGTTTACCATTTATGTCTTTCTTCCTTTAGCTTCAAAGGAACATTTTGGCATCTAATCCCAGAGTTACAAGATTCCACATTAATTGGGAAGATAACACAGAAAAACTGGAAGATGCAGAGAGCAGTAATCCGAATCTACAATCACTTCTTTCAACAGATGCATTACCTTCAGCATCAAAGGGATGGTCCACGTCAGAAAACTCACTAAATGTCATGTTAGAATCCCATATGGACTGCATGTGACCGACTACCTGCCATCCCTTTAGTAAAATTTAAGCTATAAAAACACACAGAACTATTTCCTTAATATTCCATAAGTACATAGTCAAGACGCAATGTGAAGAATTTGTTTAAAAAATATCCTGTAGAAAGTTTATAAGAAAACCAGTATTTGAGCAAATTGTGGAATATAAATACAACTATTTTTAAGTAATTTTTTTCTCTAATGTGTTATTTTATTCTAAAACTAATCTGATTAAAATATATATATTATTTTCTTCTCCTGTATATGTAATTAGAGCACTTATAAAGACAGATATTAATCATTAGACCAGGTTGTAAAGATGTTTAAACTAAACTCTTGGATGATAACTTTTGGACCACTATTTTACTGGCCTTCAAAAGAAGAAAGTTCACTTCAACTAAAATGTTCCTTTCTGTGATAATATATAGTTTGATTTAATTTAAAGGGCAAATTCCCATTCTCTTTTGGCATGTCCTTGTAGAAGGGATTTGAAGTCAAACTATATGGTACCCAAAATGGCAGGATCTGATTTTCTGGGCCACCTTGAAGCTTCTTATGGCTACTATTACAATTCATGTACTGTTAGACAGCATTCAGTTTGGCTTCTAAGATAATAACAAATGTGGTTAAATGTTTATAAGGTCCTCTGGCTATGGTTCTTGTTTTTATAACAGTTTAGGACATCAGGTCACTCTCTGAATCACATACCATTATTACCCAGTGAGTTAAACATGTCAAGAGCAGACACAAACTCTCTAAGTTTAAGAATAGGATATTACAATAACTTAGATTTGTTCATTAGACTTATAAAAATACAATGAATTTAACTCTTTAAAATTGATTTGATCATCTGTTGGCAGCATTTATATAAAAACAGTGGATTTGGGGAGGTATATTTAGCTTTATCATAATAGATAAGTTACTATTTTGGAAATACATATATTTTCACACATGTAGTACTCTTCTCCATATCCCCTGACACGCATGCAGACTAAGATTACACCTATCTGTGGCTGACAGATTCTAGATAGCCCAGGTAAGCTTTTTTAAAGCAATCTTGGAAAGGAATTAACACTGGGCCAAAAGGTTCTTTTTCTTTGGTGAGAGCTAGGTCCTTCCTCAAAGTTTCTTATGCTCCATTAAATTAAGTGTAGAATATTCTCATTACTCTTGCTGCTGAGCAAGACATTATTAGCCATATGATGCAGAGTTATGCAGTGCCTTCATATCTAAAACTTTTATACTGCACTTTTTAAAGCTTTTATTTTGAGGAAGGGAAAAGGGCATTTGTCTGAGTATGGATTCTAAGTTGTATGTATTTCATGTCATTCTAAAAAAGTGAATTTGTGAAGCAAAATTTTTGCTAAATGTTAAACTTTGAAATTTAATATACCAGATTATTAAAATACTGTCCACTAACTAGTTCATAGACTGCAAAAGTAAAATACGTCCGACTGTTAAAACTATATGAAGAAAATTTCATTTTTGTCTAATTGCAATTAAAAGAAAATGTTAAAATATTAAAATGAAAATAAAACTTTCCAACAGAGCTCAGTGATTAATATATCAGAGACAAGATATGTGCTTGTCAGAAATAAAGCATAAAGAAGCCAAATTACCAAATAAAACAATTCACTGCTGAGTTTTTATTGATTAATTATGATTGGTTTGTATTGACATCGAAGAATTAGGTTTTTATGTCAATTTGTAAAAAGCCAATTTTCACAGAAGGTTGAGACTTAGAAACTATTATCTCTTCAATTTTTATGATTCTGTAAGATTTAGAATTAAAACATTATGAACTAAGAAACTGTAGCACATAGGTCGGTTGTTTTTCTCCTGATTAGCCTCCTGTATAGACACTATCTGAATTATAGCTAGAAGGTTTAGAACTATTTTTGCCCTTTTTGATCATAGTAAGTAGCTGTGTCCTGAGAAGATAAAAAAGAGCAAGTGACTTAAGCCACAGAAGAGATAGGTGAGTAGGACAGAGGGAATGAGAATATCATTTGAGCTGAGAAGACATTCAGGAAGTCTGAGAAGCGTGCATACATTCATTTAATCTTGGGCTGACATGTGGTCTTTCCCTCTTGTTTTAAGATTTGGGATTTCTATTTTTACCAAGAAAGTCTATGGCAGCAGTTCCCAAAATTTTTTACTATAATCCATGGTAAAAAAAAGAAAAATTTAAGTAAACTAATGACCCCATAACTACATATATAGATGAACAATTTTCATGAAAATGTACCCTTACAGTGCATCTTTACTCTCTGCAGTATATTCTGGTATCTTGTATTTCATTTTGAAAGTGCTCATTTTGATCCACTGAATTGGCATTTATGACTAATGGGCTGCAATACATAGTTTGAAGAAAAGCTAGTCTGGCCCTCGGAGAAGACAAGAAGTAACAATACCTTTTCTAAGGTTCTAAAATTTATATTTACTTTACCTATCCTTTCTGTGTTATATTTGGATTATGGTCGTGCCATTTAGAAAAAAGAGGGAAAAGTGCTAAAACAGTGAATCAGCAGCCATTCAATCGAAACCTGAATATTCAGAAATTATTAGTAGCCCACAAGATAGCTTGGACCCATTTCTTGGCACTCCATATTATTAACTTTAAGAAACATTCCACATAATTGGAAACACCTCTATTTGTTGCTGATATATTTTTATACAGAACTCTAGAATACTGGGTCTTGAATTTTTAAATGTACATGAAGTGTTCTTTATATGTTCTTGCCTACTTCCCTTCCATTATCCTGAAGCTTGTCCGCTTCTCAATCCACAAATCCCTTCCCATCAATGCTTAATGTAATGTCCACTTATTTCAAAACCAAGAGCCCCTTAGAATGGAGCTCTCTTTATGTAGGAGCATTAATGGAACATTTGCTGCTTTATGATAAGTTTTAAAGTGTAAGCTTCTCTTAAGAAATCTGAGCACAGGCCATGGGTGTTGGGCTCCCCTAACAAAAAGTAGATAACATAAAATGTGTGAAACCAAAAGCCTATTACAGAACAGTAGAAATATTTCCCCAATCAAAACAGTGTAAAAATACAAAATGGCATCAAAGCATGTTAAAAATAATTTTTTCCTAAAACCACTTTAATCAAACGTGACATTATCTGCAAAGGCTTTTAAATGTACTTGGAAGATCATTACAATGTATGAATAAAGCTCCACATTGCCATGTTAGCAGTATGCTTTCCACATATTAAGACAAATTTTCTACCTGAAAATCTTCAGTAGGAGTTACTGTTGCCTCTCAGATCTATGAGCATGAAAATGCCTTAAGCTCTACACCATCTATCTACTTTTGTAAAGTGAGATTTCCCCATTTAACATTGTGTTTGCTGGGTCCTCATAAAATGCTAGATGATGCATACTTTTTCCTGTGTAAGTATTCATGAAGGTAATCACTAGAGAATGAGAAGGATTGTTCAAAACTAAGATGCAAAAAGATACATGGGATACGTTTTTGGAAAATAACTAAGTGAAGATGGAGCTTTTAAAACATTTCCTTGGAGCTAAAAAAGTAATGCTACATACTTCCGATTTGGGCAGCAACCCTCAAAATTAACTTGAAATGTATCCTACTATAACTAATTTTTCATAAGGAAAAACCATTGTGCTTTTGGAGTAACGTTAAATTAATCAAAATTGCAATGTAAGATACCTGCGCTAGTAGATCCAATTCCTGTGGTGAGCACAGATCTTGGTGTAATCTTTGCTGCATATTTGAGGAACTGAGATTTCCCTGTACCAGGATCCCCGACCAATAAAAGGTGAGATTCACCTAGAAAAAAATTAATGCAAAGTTTTAAACTTCTGTGAAAAGACCCATGAATAAGTAATCAAAAAGGAAATGGTCCACATGGAATGCCAACACAGTTTATATTTTATATAGTGCTTTTGCTGCATGCTTTTTCTTAAGGTCATTAGAGGAGACTTGGACTAGAAAATCTGTCATAATAATCTTTAAGTGATTTTTGAGTCTAACATTTAAAATCTAAATTCTTTTACTAGATTTTGTGTTACTTCTAGATGGTTAAGCCTATGTTTAACATTTTAAAAATTTTTGGCTTCTAAAGTTTCTGATTTTATTTAACCTATTTTTAAATACCAACTACTGTTACTAAATCTAGCCATACAAGTATTCTATTTTTATTTAAGCAGTTTAAGTGTTCAGGACTTTATAAGTGCTTTATAAATATCAGACCACTTAATGATTCCAACAGTTAAAGGGAAACCTTTTTATGAAAATTTAGTAGTTTAATGAAATATCTATCTTTACCCTTATTTTTCAAATGTAACAATGAGAACATACGAATATACTGTGGGATATATTATCTCACTGATCACATTTATTTGGTAATATTCAAGTATTTCCTAAAATATATTAATAGGAAATTCCTGCTTAGGCTTAACATTTAGCAGAGTACCTTACAAACAGGTGATCAAAACATTCAATATATATAAACCTTATTATACTTACTATTCTATATTGTTCTATATGGTTTTATTAGAATCCCCACTAACAGCCTAATTTATTATAATGTCCTTTTAGCCTTTTGATTTTAGTCTTTGGTTACTATGGCCCTCATTTGGCCTATATGAGGGCCATAATAAACCTACTCTATGCCAGATTCAGGTCAGTAAGTGTGTTAGCCACAAGAGCTTTCTGCCATTTGGACATAATTACACATTTAGAGTAATTGCTTGAATGTGTGACCTACAACAGGACCTCATGGCAGATGGCTCTTCTGCTACCTACTAGCAAAAGGAAAATCAGCAGGCAGATGACTGAGCACAGCAGTCTGAGACACACACTGAGTCATGAGGGACACTGATTTAGACATTTAAAAAAGCACTATTTCTAATTTTTTAAAGAAAGATTGGAAATCCAATGAAATAGTAATAGAAATATAAAGGTGTGGCACCCTTATAGGTACAAGTAAAAATAAATACTTAGAGAAAAACTGATGATCTCTTTTATTAGCCTTTGGGATTCATGATATATACATGCTGGACTAGTATTAGACAACTGTCAGCATTAAAAAAGTATCTTGGGAAGTAAAGCTCACAAGCAATGTTTATTCAGGAGGGAAAATTCTAGCTTCTTTCCTTGTATGTGTTAATATTTCTCAAAAATGTTTAAGTAGGTACTAACCTCTGACCCGTGTTCCTGTGGCATCGGTCCTCTGAATCCCACCAGCCAGCACCATGGCCACAGCAAGCTTTACCAGATACATCCCAAAAACTTGAGGGCATAAGCTTGCCAATATTTCATTTCTTCCTAGGACAGGCACAAAGATCAGAAATTACCAACAGCTTTCAAGAAATCCTAACTGAAATTTCCCCTCCTATCTTCCTATAAATACACACTACCATCTAAAATGATCAAGAGGACCATTTCCAAATGACTAAAAGGAGTGAATAGCTTTGTTTTGGTCCAAAAACCCTTTTCTTATTAATGCCATGAGATTATAAAGTCTGCTTTTTATTCCAGGGTGCTACCTGTTGAAGTTTCTAAAAATGTATCATACTTTAGAAGGGACAGAAAGGCACCTTTTCTCCCTCATTAAGCCAATATTACCCCATAATAATACTGGCTGCACTCTCTGTGCAGTAATTCCAGTAAAATTACTCCACTGCCTACATAAAATGAAGGTGCTTGACCTCAGAAACAATGAGTTGGAGTACAGAAGCCCGTACGTTTTAACTGTAAGATACTTGAAGCTCCTGGAGCTTCTCTAGGGGTGTAAGACAAGTAAAATCAGCCTATCCTATAAGACAATTCAGCATTTGCTCAGAGAACTTTGGTTAATCGTTTTATCTAGAATAAGTCACCAGGATATCAGGATATTAAAAAGAGCATTATAAACTACTAGTAATCCAAGCTGGAGGTCTTTTCATTGAAGCATTTTTAAGTGTTCAGGACTTTATAAGTGCTTTATAAATATCTGATTCTTCTGATAGGGTGGTTTAAGTAAGAAAATATCATTGTTTTGGGTTGTTTTCAGAAATGTCAAAACACTAAATCTGAGAATCTGCCTATCTCATCCATGAATGAAGTATTTTATTCCAGCACTGACCTAATCAACCAGTAGAGGCTCTTAGAACCTATTACATTTGAATAAGCCTTTCCTGAGCCTGTCTTAACTTCCATGGAATTCACTACTATTTTGATACACGGTAGGTCCACATTCATATTACCAGAAGTTAATGTCCACATGCTGGTAACTAATTTTCATGTTTCAGAACTTTTATATTTATCTCTGAATTTGTGTTCATGTTTCAGTGATAACTCTTTTGAAGAGAAAAATAATCATACAAATACTCTTTTAGCTAACGATTCCAATTCCAGAAGCTTTACTGCCAAACATCATGGGAAAGAAAAGAGCCTTCCTCCACATGCATGGCCCTATGTACAAAGGCTACTTTTAGTAATGAATCAAAATTGGCTCAGTGGCAACTAAGCTATGGTGATGTAACACAGGATGGCAGAAATGGTGAAGAAAGAAAATCTTTTAGTAAAAAGGGGACCAGAAAGAGGAATTTGTAAATCCTAGAAGGAAGTTCATTAACTGCCAGGAAGAGCCCTCTCTTTCCTGAAGTAGAAAGCCCACAGAAAAAAGATGAACAAAGGTGTGGGATCTAAGCAGGTAAGACGGCCTGACAGCAGGTGGGTGAACTCTGCCCAGAATCTGGAGGCAACACATACAAAGAAAGAAGGAATAGTCCCAACAAGCAGGTTTAAGAATAGGCAAACTGACCTGAGAGACCTCCAAGCCAAAACTTAAAAGCCAGCTTTGTTGAGTGAAGGTGCATTCAGTGACTGACGAGCTGGCAGGACGCATACCCCAGTGGTGGAGAGCATAGGCTCTGCTGTCAGACGCCTGGCCTCAAATCCCAGGGCTATTACTACCTGGCTGACCTTCGCCAAATTTCCTAACCTCTCTGCCTTTATCTCCTTATCTGTAAAATGGAGATGATAATGGGGTCACAGAATTATTAAGGATCAAAGGAGTTAATACATGGACAGTGCACAAAACAACACCTGGCACATAGTAGGAGCTACTTTACTGTTAAGTGTTAAAGTGCCTGTGTTTCTGTGCTTAATGCTGATCTCAAGATTTTCTGACACTGTAGTCAGCAAAGAAGATAAACTATGAAGGTAGGTCTGAAGCACCAGAGAAAAGCTAAGGGGAGGAGCTCTTCCCCTAAATTGCTTGTCTCAAGTTCCTCGGATTGTGGCAATAGCAGCTCCCAAGGCTGTATTATGGAAGACAATGCATCAGAATGAACACTACCCCATCACTCCCTCCTTCCCGAATTCCTGGTTTTAGGCCATGTTAATAGTGTGGCTAGAGTCCATAATGGCCTAGTAATCCACTCTTCTGGCATGGCCCTCAAGCTAACGCCAGTGAAGAGAACTTAGATCTAAGATAACTGGGATAGCCCAACAGACCCCAACCCCTACTCCTCTGGGTTTCTAGCCAGCATCTTAAGCACCAGTCAAGGGACCCCTGAGCTCACTATACATCAGCATAGAGCCTCTGGCTTCTAGTGGTACCCACAGCATCAGGTCTTAATGAAGCAAGTCAGTCTCCAAGAGCTGAGCTGGGACATTTTCTCTAGCTTTAGACTAACACAATGAAGACATCCAACTGGATACAGCTCCACACTTTCTCCCACCCTACCCCACCCCCAACACACACACACATGCACTTTGAAATGGTGAAATACAGTGTGCTGGTACTGGGTACTTAGGAAACTAAGAAAGCAAAATCTGTACTAAAAGACAAATGTTGCCACGTTTTCTCCCTGTCCTCCTACCTAAATCTCTCACAGCTTGTATTTACTTCTTTTTATCCAGTAAATGAGTTGTACAGCTATAGCCCTCTAACTAAAACAAGATACCCTTTCTAATCACCAGCAGAAAGCACTTCTGGTGGTCTAGTTAGAACACAGTACGATGCTCTTTCTCTACTGTTACTAGGTATTGAGCTGTAGCCCTGCAATTAATAAGGAATGACCATGGTCCAAGGAAAAGTTTCAGATTTTTTAAGGACCTGATCTGAAGAAGCAATTTTAAGTAAAAATCATTAAAAAATATGTATTTTTCTTAAAGGGTTTGCTTAATAAAGCCACAATGTAGAGGACATTGGTTATTTATAGATTGGATAAAAGAATGACCAGGAACCACTACATATATGCTACATACATTGGCAAAAAAAAAAAAATTTACCCCACAAAATAAAAGCAAACTGCCTACATTTAGGCAAATAAGAGCCTTATTTTGTGACATGATATCTGTACAGCTCAGCATGTGATTTAAAAATAATATGTATTAGATTTGAGATGATGTTTATTAGAAATAGTCTATTACTGGCTTCAGTTTACTTTTCTTAGAAGATGCTTCTAAGGAAGAATGAAAACAGACATTTGAAGATTTAAATGGTATTTTATACATCTGGGATTTTTAAATGAAAAATACTCTATGTACCCAAAGGCTATGATGTTTTAGTTCATATAATTGTATCTTAGTGTTATAGTCAAAAATTTTTGCTATGATGATAAAGCTTACTTTTTGCATCTTTCTATATTCCATCATTTCTTTTCTATGTATTCCATATTTTTAAAATCTATAGCTAAACTAATATGAAGTCATCTTTATTATTTAAGGAACATTAATATCTAAGGAACATTTAATAGAATGAAGTTTCTTAATTGGTTGAGTTTTCCTTATCTGAGGAGCTGTGTATTTGATTGGTAAAGAAAGTAGAAATCTCTGAAACTATTTTGGCTGTACAAGACATGTTTAAGATAATAGAATTGGGAAATCTCTTGGAATTCAACCTTGATTTTCCAGAGGATCTCAGAAATTGAAAAGACTATACCAGAAAAGAGCTTCAAAAGGAGACTACATATGGCTAGAGGTACTGGTGATGCTAGTACCTTTTAAACTCAGCCACTGAGTAATGCAGCATATAAGACTTCCTTCTAATCAGACATCATGTTTAACAACTGAATAAAATGCCACTAATAATTATCAAGTTTATACCCTTAACAACAAACCTGCAAAGGGATTGCTCTTGTAGTATTCCCAGAAATCTTCAAATTCTTTCTGGACCTCCTCATCCATGATGATCCCCGCAGACTGCTCATTATTTACTTGGACATAATTGGCTTTTAGGACTATCTCCACTTCACAACGTACATCTGGCTGAAAGGGCTTCCATCGCTGCATTACAACTCCGTAAATAGTGAGATCATCGCCTAGGAGAGAGCACCATGTGCGTCCAGCAGAACCATCCTGTTCGCTGGGCACAGACTTGCATGACAAGGGATTATATGAAATTCAATTTCAAAATCATGACAAATAGGAAATAAACCACTCCCCCACCAGGGTTTAGAGTGGTATACACTCATCTGGAAAACAATCTGGAGACAAAAGATTCCCACTTTTTTTGTTTTTTTTTTCAAGGAAACACTAGTAACTGCACAGCTGAAAGCGAAAGTCAGCATTTTTACTTTTTTTTAATCTGCCTCATGAAATCATGCCTAATTACTACCCTTCACTAGGAAAATAGTTTACTGGATGATTTATTCATTGTTGTTATATTGGGTGAAATGTTCCTCCTCACAATCTCTAATCATATAGTTCTCACTTAAAGAGGTGAGAATTTCAGCCAGCAGGTAAACTATAATCAATCCAGTGTCAGGAAAGGAGACAATCTTGTGAAGATTGATACTAGTTTTAGCTTTTTATATATTCATTTTTACTTACCACATTTGTTAACATTTTAATCACTGCCTTTTTTTTTAATGAAGAAAAGAATGAATAAACTAATGAATAAACACCTGTTGTACTTCAAAGCTCCTTTCCATAAACTGTGAAATACAAGATACACTTCTGCGTGTTCCCTCTTGGTTGGTTCCTTTCCACCTGAGGAAACTCCCATTCCTAGTGAGCAGAATTATTACAGCTATTACAGATTTTCCTAAGAGGACTTAGGTAGTGTAAAGATAGATTTTCCAAACACTGACATCTGTGCTTATTAGTACTATATACAATTCAATGCATCAATTAATAAGTATATATGAATGAATGGCTTTCAATATATTAGTATTGGAGAAAAGGGGATCACAAAAAAGGAAAGACATAATCTTCACCCCAAATATTCCAATCTTGTTAAACACAGAATGTGAATATATCCTAAAAACAATCCTGGTATTTATATTTTGCACAGCAAATATCATCTCTGAACTTACAGGCAACTCTTCATTTCTAAGCCTGTGTCAAATATATGTCATTAGCTGATGCAAAATGCCTCTCACTCTCTAAATTTCAACATGTAATGCATAATCTGCAGGTCTTTTGATTTTCTAAAGAGAAGTGTTTTGTAAATGCTAAATGCATGAAATTGGTGAGAGCAATTCACAGAATAGAAAGCATATTTCCAGCCAAAGGCAACTTCTTGTAAATAGTGACAAACCATTTAATAGGTGCTTATTAAATAAATGCCTTACATTAAACACATTAAATAGTTGCTTTGCATATGTTTTCAAGATCTTCCTAAACCACTGCTTCAATGGTTTTCAGGCCCAAACAAGAATAATGATCATTTACTATATTGTGTGTCACAAATTTTTAGATGAAAATGATTGGGGCAACTTCACACGAGCACTTGGAATAGTCTACTTATGGCCACTATCATGGTTTATATTTAGGTTGTTTCTAAATGAGTAAATGAGGAACTTAACTTCTACATATAGCACCCACTTGTAACTATCTGACTTCAATTGGCAGTGATAATGCAGAAAACATAGTACTGAAGTTTCATCAGATTTGGATTCAAATCCCAACGCCACCACTCAGTACTGGCTACGTGAGCTTGGGCAAGTTAACCTAACTTTGATGAGCCTATGTTTTGACCTACAAAGTGGGAATAATTATTTTATATCATGGGACTACAGTGGGAATTAAATCAGATAAAGTTTATAAATTACTTAATATCTAGAACATAGTGATCAGTGAATACTAACTATCATAATAATACTGAACCTACCTTACATTTGTGGAACAACTAATACCTTTAGAAAAGCTTTTCATATAGACATGTTTTAATTTACTCAAATATTTACTGACTGGCAGATTGAAATGACCATCAGAACAACCGTGAAGTACAGATGATTGACCAAGGCCACAATATGTATTTTAAACTTTTCTATAATCAAACTAATTATAAACAGTGTTAAATATTTTCAGGAAGCTAAAATTCTTCCTCTTATAGAATCCAATTTCTTTGTGTCAGTCTATCTGCTACAGTATATTTACCCCTGCAGCTATCCTCAGTCAGACCCATCTCTGATATCCTGCTACACCAGCAGTACCAGCACACAGCCTCCAACTTTATTGCTCTACATGTGTCAGATTGGCATTCCTAATTAGACTATAAATTCCCAAGGGCAAAAACTACATCATTTATGTCTTTTGATTCCCACAGAGGTTTATAACTACAGATACATGAAAAAATAGCTGTTAACTGACTGCTTCCATCCATTTTTTTATTATTAGTGACATGAAAGAGTAGCTTAAGATTTTTTTCAGTGAAGAAAGAATTCAGTTTAGGTGAACTGCATGAAAACATCTTAATGTACATGAAAGGATATTTTCATGTTCAAGCTAAGCAAAACTTTGCTGATCCAGATACTGTATTTTGGTTAAATCTCATGTCTTATATGAAAAGGGTACTTGACACAGCCTTGTCTATTTAGTAGGTAATCCAAGATCTAAACTGTTCTTTCCTTAATGTACTGTCTAGACAACTATAAGCTGTTAAGAAATTTTAAACTGTGGGTTGGTGACTCTTGGGTGGGTGGGGGGATTTTTTTTATAAACAATTATTCTTGACTCCAAATACTCGAATCTTTTATTTCCACAGAGGGTTTGCCTCACCATTTTAATGAAATGTCAGCTCAGTAAATATTTTATAAATGAGGGATTTGGAGAAGTCTAGGGTTAATAAAAGGGAAATGATAGAATTTGGAGAAATGAAGCATTTTCAATCTATCTAGTAAGAGACAACTTGGATGTGGACTAAGAGATCAAACCTGCTACTGCCCAGATGTCATATACTATTTGTTTTTCATTAAAATTAAGAGTGTTTGAGTGGGAAATCTGAGAATGGTAAATACCTAAAGCAGGGAATGCTGTAAATTGAAAGCAACTGTTGACATTTAGCTAAGGTTTAGTAATCATTTCCATTTTCTGACCCACCTCCAATTTAAGTTAAATGTTAAAGAGCAAGTGCAAATTATTAGGTAAACAGTAAAAGCAAGTTTTTTAGTTATTTGGAATAAGAGGAGGGAGGAGAAAGGATAGCTCTTATATCCTCTCCACAGACAAAGGTCTGGTTAAGGCCAGGGAATATGTGTAGGAAACAGAAGATGTGGACTGTAGGGGAACAAGTTTTCATTCGCCTTTTCTAGAGCTGCAAATAGTAGCCTAAGAGAAGCTGATGAAAGCCTTGCTGCTGAGAAGACAACCTTGTTTGGCACTAAAAGTTCAACAAACCTGCAAAGGGATTGCTCTTGTAGTATTCCCAGAAATCTTCAAATTCTTTCTGGACCTCCTCATCCATGATGATCCCCGCAGACTGCTCATTATTTACTTGGACATAATTGGCTTTTAGGACTATCTCCACTTCACAACGTACATCTGGCTGAAAGGGCTTCCATCGCTGCATTACAACTCCGTAAATAGTGAGATCATCGCCTAGGAGAGAGCACCATGTGCGTCCAGCAGAACCATCCTGTTCGCTGGGCACAGACTTGCATGACAAGGGATTATATGAAATTCAATTTCAAAATCATGACAAATAGGAAATAAACCACTCCCCCACCAGGGTTTAGAGTGGTATACACTCATCTGGAAAACAATCTGGAGACAAAAGATTCCCACTTTTTTTGTTTTTTTTTTCAAGGAAACACTAGTAACTGCACAGCTGAAAGCGAAAGTCAGCATTTTTACTTTTTTTTAATCTGCCTCATGAAATCATGCCTAATTACTACCCTTCACTAGGAAAATAGTTTACTGGATGATTTATTCATTGTTGTTATATTGGGTGAAATGTTCCTCCTCACAATCTCTAATCATATAGTTCTCACTTAAAGAGGTGAGAATTTCAGCCAGCAGGTAAACTATAATCAATCCAGTGTCAGGAAAGGAGACAATCTTGTGAAGATTGATACTAGTTTTAGCTTTTTATATATTCATTTTTACTTACCACATTTGTTAACATTTTAATCACTGCCTTTTTTTTTAATGAAGAAAAGAATGAATAAACTAATGAATAAACACCTGTTGTACTTCAAAGCTCCTTTCCATAAACTGTGAAATACAAGATACACTTCTGCGTGTTCCCTCTTGGTTGGTTCCTTTCCACCTGAGGAAACTCCCATTCCTAGTGAGCAGAATTATTACAGCTATTACAGATTTTCCTAAGAGGACTTAGGTAGTGTAAAGATAGATTTTCCAAACACTGACATCTGTGCTTATTAGTACTATATACAATTCAATGCATCAATTAATAAGTATATATGAATGAATGGCTTTCAATATATTAGTATTGGAGAAAAGGGGATCACAAAAAAGGAAAGACATAATCTTCACCCCAAATATTCCAATCTTGTTAAACACAGAATGTGAATATATCCTAAAAACAATCCTGGTATTTATATTTTGCACAGCAAATATCATCTCTGAACTTACAGGCAACTCTTCATTTCTAAGCCTGTGTCAAATATATGTCATTAGCTGATGCAAAATGCCTCTCACTCTCTAAATTTCAACATGTAATGCATAATCTGCAGGTCTTTTGATTTTCTAAAGAGAAGTGTTTTGTAAATGCTAAATGCATGAAATTGGTGAGAGCAATTCACAGAATAGAAAGCATATTTCCAGCCAAAGGCAACTTCTTGTAAATAGTGACAAACCATTTAATAGGTGCTTATTAAATAAATGCCTTACATTAAACACATTAAATAGTTGCTTTGCATATGTTTTCAAGATCTTCCTAAACCACTGCTTCAATGGTTTTCAGGCCCAAACAAGAATAATGATCATTTACTATATTGTGTGTCACAAATTTTTAGATGAAAATGATTGGGGCAACTTCACACGAGCACTTGGAATAGTCTACTTATGGCCACTATCATGGTTTATATTTAGGTTGTTTCTAAATGAGTAAATGAGGAACTTAACTTCTACATATAGCACCCACTTGTAACTATCTGACTTCAATTGGCAGTGATAATGCAGAAAACATAGTACTGAAGTTTCATCAGATTTGGATTCAAATCCCAACGCCACCACTCAGTACTGGCTACGTGAGCTTGGGCAAGTTAACCTAACTTTGATGAGCCTATGTTTTGACCTACAAAGTGGGAATAATTATTTTATATCATGGGACTACAGTGGGAATTAAATCAGATAAAGTTTATAAATTACTTAATATCTAGAACATAGTGATCAGTGAATACTAACTATCATAATAATACTGAACCTACCTTACATTTGTGGAACAACTAATACCTTTAGAAAAGCTTTTCATATAGACATGTTTTAATTTACTCAAATATTTACTGACTGGCAGATTGAAATGACCATCAGAACAACCGTGAAGTACAGATGATTGACCAAGGCCACAATATGTATTTTAAACTTTTCTATAATCAAACTAATTATAAACAGTGTTAAATATTTTCAGGAAGCTAAAATTCTTCCTCTTATAGAATCCAATTTCTTTGTGTCAGTCTATCTGCTACAGTATATTTACCCCTGCAGCTATCCTCAGTCAGACCCATCTCTGATATCCTGCTACACCAGCAGTACCAGCACACAGCCTCCAACTTTATTGCTCTACATGTGTCAGATTGGCATTCCTAATTAGACTATAAATTCCCAAGGGCAAAAACTACATCATTTATGTCTTTTGATTCCCACAGAGGTTTATAACTACAGATACATGAAAAAATAGCTGTTAACTGACTGCTTCCATCCATTTTTTTATTATTAGTGACATGAAAGAGTAGCTTAAGATTTTTTTCAGTGAAGAAAGAATTCAGTTTAGGTGAACTGCATGAAAACATCTTAATGTACATGAAAGGATATTTTCATGTTCAAGCTAAGCAAAACTTTGCTGATCCAGATACTGTATTTTGGTTAAATCTCATGTCTTATATGAAAAGGGTACTTGACACAGCCTTGTCTATTTAGTAGGTAATCCAAGATCTAAACTGTTCTTTCCTTAATGTACTGTCTAGACAACTATAAGCTGTTAAGAAATTTTAAACTGTGGGTTGGTGACTCTTGGGTGGGTGGGGGGATTTTTTTTATAAACAATTATTCTTGACTCCAAATACTCGAATCTTTTATTTCCACAGAGGGTTTGCCTCACCATTTTAATGAAATGTCAGCTCAGTAAATATTTTATAAATGAGGGATTTGGAGAAGTCTAGGGTTAATAAAAGGGAAATGATAGAATTTGGAGAAATGAAGCATTTTCAATCTATCTAGTAAGAGACAACTTGGATGTGGACTAAGAGATCAAACCTGCTACTGCCCAGATGTCATATACTATTTGTTTTTCATTAAAATTAAGAGTGTTTGAGTGGGAAATCTGAGAATGGTAAATACCTAAAGCAGGGAATGCTGTAAATTGAAAGCAACTGTTGACATTTAGCTAAGGTTTAGTAATCATTTCCATTTTCTGACCCACCTCCAATTTAAGTTAAATGTTAAAGAGCAAGTGCAAATTATTAGGTAAACAGTAAAAGCAAGTTTTTTAGTTATTTGGAATAAGAGGAGGGAGGAGAAAGGATAGCTCTTATATCCTCTCCACAGACAAAGGTCTGGTTAAGGCCAGGGAATATGTGTAGGAAACAGAAGATGTGGACTGTAGGGGAACAAGTTTTCATTCGCCTTTTCTAGAGCTGCAAATAGTAGCCTAAGAGAAGCTGATGAAAGCCTTGCTGCTGAGAAGACAACCTTGTTTGGCACTAAAAGTCTGTAGACTCAAGACTTTCAAGCTTTATATTAGAGTCTACAGTGATTGTCAGTTCTGTTAAGCAGACAGTGAGACTAAATAAATAGAGATGAAGATACCTGTTTTGAAATATGGAAATCATCAAGTGTTTCGGTTAGGAAAAAACATTTTTGATTAAAACATTTAGATTATCACTTTGAAGACAGTGTGCTTCTGTCTGAGATCTTCACCCTTAGCTGGCCAGTGCCAAGTATATTTTATAGCCCTACTCCCTACTAAGCACTGAAGAAAGCACCCTTTATTCTTTCTTTTTGCATTATATATACAAAATATCACCAATACATCCATTTGAAAAACGTACCAAATTTTATAAGAATCTCTTATGATACTTAAATATGGCTACTGCAGAAAAGAGAACAGTATTTACCCTAGTGAACAATAGTGCTAATTTACAAAACCTCCTAATATATTAACTTTCCAAATAAAACTTTTACCTATTTTTTAAAATAAAAACATTAACTTTAAAATGCAGTATGGAATATTTCCATTATACAGATGTGGGCCAATACTAATCCCCACCCTTCCACAAATACTTCCAAATTTGACTTTTCCCAGGCTCCCTAATGAGAAGAGTAAGAGGAGAAAAGACAAGTTGAGTGGGGCAAAGGAGAGCTGGTGGGCTTAAAGATCAATGCAGAACTCAGAATGACATTGCAACAATCAGGCTCTGAAGCTCCTGGATTTCAAGAACAGCTCCAAAGCCCAGAGAGACTGATTTGCCTGGAACACGGTAGATCACCCAGATAACTGACATCATGAGGCTTACATCACTAAGAAGATGCTGCACACCCATTTGACTGCCTCTTGAGAAAAACTCATCATCACCTGAAGCCCATGTTGGACATCTCTGATTATTAGATACTGAGTCAAAATTTACTTCCTATAGCTTCCTCCTACTGAAACTCAGTATTATCTAATTGGGTAGATACTATTGTAATCACATTTCCATTTCTATATGACAATCTTCCAACTAATGAAAGTTGGCTGTCATGTCCTTCCTGAGGCTTGTTCATGCTCAACACCCACAGTTGTTCTTTCAGTATGTTTTGTGTTTCCTCCCAGTTCAGGAAATTGCCCAGTGGAAACACTGAGAACCCTCAGAGGACAAGGGTTCTCATCAATGTGACTTCTGTAGTGTGTCACCAGCACAGAACAGAGAAGACCAATCACCTCCTTTCTTCTAGACACCAGGAAGAGTCCAGTAACACTTGAGAGTCACATTCTCTGATTCATCTTATATAACTATCCACTAAAACCACCACATTTTTTAACAGTTGCTGCTATTAAGCTATGGTGCACTAAAGAGAGTCCTGGACTAGAAGTTAGTGGATCTGGATTCATGTTCCAATTCTGCCACTTAACCCTCCAAGTGACCATGGGAAAGTCAGATTCTTTATAAAACAAGGAGCTGGACTAAACCACAAAGCTACAGCTCTGCTTCCTTCCTGCCATCACCTCTCACCACTGCTCCAGTCTTTGTTCTCAAGGTGAGCAATCAAGTCTCCATACCCACTTACTAGTTATCCTGGGAAAATAAAAATGGCTTTTCGTAATCAATAATTTAGGTCCTTCCTATATAAGTTAACAAAAGTTAATTCTTACCAGATTTGCAACTGTCAACTAAGTCGTCTTCCAGGATAACCTTCATAGATCGTGGAATACTGCCAACAGATAGCCTTTGAACCTAACAAGGAAAAGAAAACATACTGAGTATGCTTAAATACATGCTAAGTATTCAGGAGCCTAGCAGTTCTTAAAATTGCTGTTTCTATTTCTCTGGTATTTTTTGTACAATTATGATGAGGATTTATGTAATTTTCTTGAAAATTGTGCTTATTAGTTTAAGAATTCACTAAAACTAGAGTGAAATAAAAACATCAATATAGAAAATGTCTCAAAATATAATCTACCTTGTGGATGGTCAAAATAAACACATGCTCCAACAACTTAACAAATAATAAAGTTACTTAACTACAAAAAAAGAGAGGCAGTTTTTTCCTGATCTCTAGTTATAAGACCTGGGACAAATCTCTCAGTTCCTTTGATTATTCCTTAGTAACAGAACCCTGGTTTTATAATACATGGACATGTGACCACACTAATATTTCCCAAGCTCCCTTGCATGTAGGTGTGGTCATATGACTAAGTTCTGGCCAAGACACATAAGCAGATATGTTGCAGGAAACTTCAAGGGAGATGACTTAAATGGAACTTGGGTGAAATGGCAGATGCTTTTGCCTATCCCTCCTTTTTCCTGTACTCTGGCTAGGATACAGCTGTGACGGAAATGTAGCTACCATCCTGGGCCATAGGCAGCTCTAGGAATAGAAGCCATGTGTTAAGAATGACATAGAAAGACAAGTGTGTGTCCTCCACACTGAATTAGCCTCTGTGCTTAAGTTGCAAGTAAAGGAAAATGAAGCTCACTCTCATGTGTTACAAGAGTGTTTATGTATACCTCAGTTGGCACAGCAAATAAATTGGGCCTAAAACCAAATCCTACCCATTCCAATGTTTAACAACCAATTAAACTCATTTAATTTTTTCCTGCCCTTTAGTTAAGTAAAGCAAGTTTGAACTTCTTAAACATTCACTCTTTAATTTTAATGTCATTAATAAGTCATTCCACAACCCTCTTGCCAATGCTCTACATGAAAAGATGATTATTTCATGGCCTATACAGACTATGTCCTGACATATGTTCAAGAGTTTCACACTTGATCTTCCACAAAATGATGACAAAAATTCCATTTGTAATCCACAGTGTTCCCTAGTCCAAGGAATTTGCCCACTGCTGAAAAACACTTCTTCAAATGTGTTATTTTTCCCATTTATTTGATCATTTACCTGTTCCTGAATTTTGATTTCCTGATAATCTCTACACCTGACTGGAGATGAAGCTGAGCCTGAGAGGCAAGTAAATTTTGAAGAATCACAGTTCTCTGAGCTGGGACATGAAGATGGACGGCAAAAAACATAATACTGCTCAAAGTCAGCCTTTACCACAAATGCATGCTTGCATTTGTTACACATGTATTCCCGCTCAAACTCCAGGATCTTCACCAGACTTGTTCGAATCACTGTCCCAGTGACAGATAAAAAGTGTCCCACATCCTTGGTTTTAGGGATGTGCTCCCTTACCAGCTCAGGACAAACGGGCAATCCTGATAAAGAAAAACAAAACGAAACAAAAAAATCACATCAATTTATACTTTGGAATTTGAATCCATGGACTATATTCGTCTCATATTTCCTAGGAGAGAAGGCATAATGTCAGAAAAAAAATTTGTGTTTTACTTAAGAAAAAAATCAACTCAATTAACAGAAAAGAAATATTTCAAATAACAGTCATCAATGGACTCTTTTTAAATGCACATATCTAAAAGATATAATAACCAGGATACAAATAGGATTTTTATAAGAGGGCTATCTTAGTAGGATCTAAGTACAGTATGTAATTGTAACCATATTCAATGAAGAACATACTGCCACGTGCCACATATAAAATCAAATGATGACTTTTTGAGTAAACAACAAAGCTGAGTGATAAAGATATGGTAGCATAACGACCAGAGTCCCACAGAGCTAGAAGGTTATTGCTTTTTTTAGTTAGGTTCAGTATTTATTAATACATAAATCTGACAGTGTTTCCAAGCCTTGAATTACCTAGAGGTTATCCCACAGCATAACTTCATCCTTTAAAAACCTTGTTTTTCACCATTTAATAAACAGGCAACTGAAAGGGTGCAAAATCAAAGAAAATTCTTAGCAGAAATGTCCTCTTTCTCATGTTTGGCTACAATGAACATTGGAGTAGGGATGTTGGCTAAGATGGTCAAAGGCTGCCTCATAACAGGTTTATCAAGGTTGCATTTGTTACATGGTTACATCCCACGGCCCATTGCTTTGTCCTCAGAATTTAGTAGCTCTGAAACCTGGTATGCGTACACACTGAAGACAAGTCCATCAGGTTGGCCAAGCTCATGAGAAATAACCGTAACAGGTATGATTTTTTTTTAACTTTCATTTTAAAAAAATGAAAGTTTTTCTATTTAATTTTACTGAAGAGTTTAGGTCTTAATGTGGAGAGTGTGGTGACAGTAGTATTTTTTTTATATCATTAATATACAAGTACATGAGCAACATTGTGGTTACAGACTCCCCCCATTTATTAAGTCCCCACCACATACCCCATTACAGTCACATAACAGGTATGATTTTACTTAAGTTTCTATAGTCAGTACATTTTCTCCCTTTGGACAGACATGCTCTGAAAGCCAAACAATCATCATCATCATCATCATCATAAGGTAGTTTGGGAAGCATGGAATTTTTAAAAAGGCAAACCAGTTAGATGAACTGAATGCTTAAGGCACCAGGTTGTGTTAATCTGGTGTTACAGGTTACAAGTCTACAGACAGACTTGAATTTTCTGTTACTGGCTGAGATTCTCTCCATATACTCGATACTGTGCAAACAAAGTGGGCACTGCCAACATCTACTCTTACTCTTTTTCTATGTGTCCAAGATTGAGCTGTCCACTTTCTAATGGACTACTCTTTACTTTTATTGCATATTTTCAAGTAAGGTAGCCATACTTTTGTTTAGGATGGTGTTTGTATATCTATGCCTTATACATTATTGACTTGACCATTTAACTCTCAGAAAACAAAACTTATTTCCAAATTCCTGGGGAATGCTTCATTAAATCACTCTGGGGCTGACAAGTGCTATATCACATGTGCAGGAATAGATGCAGAAGTTGGGGGAGGATTAAAGCAGATATCTTATCCTAAAAAATACCCACTCCATTAATTTCTCACTGTTGATCTAAGGCATCTGTTAATTCAGCTGTGTGTAGCTAATGTTGAGCTACCAAGAACATATCAATATTTCCAGTTACAACCAAGTAAAGGCCATACCAATAACCAAAAGCTTTTCATTAAAAACAGGTTGTGGTCTCTTGTCCACATTGCTTATGTTTCAGGGGTACAATATTCCCTGTAGTTCATACCCTAAAATGTTAAGAAACAAGAAACCACCAAGTGAAGACCTCTGTTCTTACTTGGCCTCTACTGACTGGCTATCATGACACATCTTAGTACTGCTTGTATTTTCTCAATTACCTTTTGTTTGCTTCCCACATGAATACTTTTTTAAAAATTGAGATATACCATAAATGTACTCTGTTAAAGTATATCCTTCAGTGGTTATTAGTATATGCACAAGATTATATAACCATCACTGCTATCTAATTCAGAATATTTTCAGGGCTTTAAAAAACCATGAACCCAGGAGCAGTCATTCCTCATTCCCTTTTACCCCTCATCTCTGGCAAACACTAAGCAACTTTCTGTCACTATGGTAAATCTATTCTGGATGTTTTGTATAAATGAAATCATATACTATGTGGTCTTTTGTTACTGGCTTCTTTCACTTAGCAGAATGTTTTCAAGATTCATCCATGTTGTAACATGTATCAGTATTTCATTCCTTTTTATGGCTGAATATTCCATTGTATGGATATACCACATCTTGTTTATCCATTCAGCAGTTGATAGACATTTGGGTTGTGTATACTTTTTAGCTATTATGAATAATGGTGCTACAAACATTTGTGTGCAAGTTTTTATTTGAATACCTGTTTTCAATTATCTTTGGCATATACATAAGAGTGGAATTCCTAGGTCATATGGTGGAATATATTTTTTTAATAATTTCATTTTTGTTTTTGCAAAGAATCACTAAGTGTTCTCTAATGTAAGTATATATAAGGATAGGAAAATAGAATTATTCGAGTGGGAAATAGGATTAATTGATTCTGTTTTTTAAAGTCTAAAGAAATCTACCAACAGTTACTTCTAAGAAAGATGGGCAAGGTAAAGAAGAGAATAGAAAAAAAAAGTGGGTCATAACCCAGAACTTATTTTAGCAATTTCTTTGGGCTTTTTTAAACATCCATTCTCTCTTCCTTGGCCCCTAAAGTATCATTTTCACATCCCATTTCTACCCCTGCCATTCTAGTTCTGCTTCAGATGTAAACTGATTCTTCACTTTAAGTTATATTATCAACATACTAAAAACTAAGATCACAAGAACCAGGTTATGGAAAGTTCATGTTACCTTGATGCCTTGCATGACTGCAGAATACCAAGTAAAACTACAAGCTACCCAGTATAATTTAGTAGACTCTTCGGATTTTTCAGTGTGATGGAGTCTTACATGTAATTGATGAAATCTTATATTATTATCTAGATAGATGATTGCTATTTCTAGCTTAAAAATAAAGCTTAGTGTAATTTTATTATCACTTTTTCCTAGAAAGCTATTTTTAATTTGATGGTGAGTCTCACTGTGATAAAATATGAGAATAGAGGAATGAAATGCCATATCCCCATTGCCTCACAGTAATCCAGGCAAGAGATAATGCAAGGCTGAATCCAAGCCTCTTCCACTTACCACCCTTCCCTAACTGTCCTTTGATCTAAGAATAAAGAACCAAATTTGTAGTGGACCAAAGGACCTTTTGTGATAAGCTTCCTCTTATACTGAGCCCTCTGAGCACTCACTCAAATACCCTCACATCATTTTCCCTCTGCCTCAACACTCTCCTCCTCACTTCGCCCCTCAAAAATGCCCACACTAAGAGGCTATATGGGGCTTAAGAATATAGACTCTGAGCCAGAATTCTTGGGTGTGAGTCACAGCTCTATCACTTACAGGCTGTGTGACTTTGGCCAAATTATAACCACTTAGATTTCCCTTCTGTAAAATGGCAATAACCACAAAACCTACCTCAAAGGGTCATAAGAAGATTCAAATAATTCATATATGTAATACTTCTTAGAACAGTACCTTGCATATATAGCAAACACTTTTTAAATGTTAGTTCTTATAATTATCATTTTTGCCAGCATGTCAGCTTAAATACAATTTTTTAAATGAAATCTTTCCTTAACCCACTTCAGGGTAAATTCCCTCTTTAATGTGCCATAATAAACTGTTCTCTTTCATACCATTTACTGCAGTTTAAATAAAGTAATTAATCAATTATTATGCTTCCACACTAGAATATAAATTCCATGGGGCCAGGATTGAGGTAGATTTTATTCACTACTATATTATCTGAGCAAGCATCATGCTTAATAAATGATAAGTATTCAAAAAATATTTGAAAGATGAAAGGTGAAAAATAGATATGAAAGATGTTAACAATACTATGTTAGCTTTGAGACCTATTAGAGATCAAGTATAAGAAAGAGGGTGACATTTAGAGTGACTCCCAGTTCTCTGCCTCCACTGAGTCAAGGAATTCTTCAAGGCACATGGTAGTTAATCAGCAAATGTATATTAAAAGAATAAATAAGGAAATGCCATTTTCAGATGGAGTGGGGGCACAAAGAATAGAGGGAAATCATGACTACACTTTTTTTTTACTTTTTTTGCAGGGGCACCAGGACCAATGATCACCAGCTGCCTGAGTACCCAAAAATTATGCTTCCAGAATCTCTTGATGCATAACCACACTTTTTGATACACTGAGTTTGTAAGAAGGTATCTAGTTTGAAGCATCTGATAGACAAGAGGGTATGTGGATACAGAGCTTAAGAGACAAATTCTGGCTTTAAAAAATAGAATTAGCACTTGTTTCTGTACAGGTGGCAGCTGAAGCCTCAGTTCAGAATGGAGGCCACCCCATCAGGCAGAGAACGCAGGATCCAGGAGACGGCCACATCTAAACCCTGAGGACCTAACACCTTCAGGACAGGTAAGGGGAGAGGCTCCTACAGTGGAAGCAGAGAAGCCACAGCCAGAAAGGGAGGAAAGGGCCAGAGAGTGCTGTCAATGGGGCCAAGGCTGTTGTTTCATAAAGCAGGAAGAGTCAGTAGTATCAAACCCAGCAGGAAAGAGTGAAAAGTGTCCCTCAGTTTAGCCATTAGGCAGTCACTGATAACACTGGTGGGAGGAGTTTCTGTATGATGGAGGTGAAAGGATGGATGGGAGAAGGTGATACTGAAGAAGGAATGTATTCTATAAAATACTTGGCTATAAAAAAAGAAACTGGATGGAGGAAAAGGGGACCCAGAGTTGAAAAATGGATCTTTCTCCTTTTATAAAATGGGAGATACCTGAAAAAGAAAATTCAGATTAAGTACCAGAAAGG